CAAGCATTTACCAAGCCAAGCCATCTCACTAGGGACCCCTGTTCCAAAGACGGGGGCCAGAGGAAGGGACGGGCAGGACTTACAACTATCAAAAATGTGAAATGAATCAAATCAGAGGACTTTGTCCAATCACCCGAGGTCCCCGAGGAGGGCTCTGTTCTCATTTTACCCCAGTTGGCTTCCGTCTCCATCAAAATTCTTAACAGTCTAAAGACGTGTTCCCTGCCTGAGTTTCTGTCTGCTATTCTGCGGCTGGAAAAATGGAAAAACACCAGGATATTTCAAAGAGATCAGAAAACAGCCAGAACTATTCAAGACTACACGTACCCATCAGACCCAGCCAATCACAGAGTCTTAGAAACCAACAGGGAGCCAGCAGAGAAGCCCTGGCCAAATCCACAGCATCCTGCTTAAGCCTCTACCATCCATCACGGTTATTTGCCAGTGACTAAGAGCCTGCCGTGTGCTGGGCCCACAAAGGAGATTCTCCATGGTGGTGGGATGGTGGGGTGGGGGGACGGTTAGTGATAGAGCTGCAAGGGCACCAGAGTGGTGTGAATCCCCTGCCAAGCTATGTGATCGGGAACAAGTCAATCTCCAAAAATGCATACAGCAGACAGAACAGCAGACCCTCAAAGATGTCCATGGTCCTGGTCTCCGGAACCGTGACTATGAAAAAAGAAGCATGACTCAGAGGGCAGAGTCATGAAAACAGAGGCGAAGAGTCAGCAGATGTGATTTAAAGACTTTGAGATCAGATTATCTTGGATGACCAAGTGGGTCCAGTCTAATCACATGAGTCCTTAAAAGTGAAGAGGAAGGCAGGAGGGTCAGAGAAATATGGCATGAGAAGCACCTGACTCACCATTGCTTGCTTTGAAGATGGAGGAAGCCGGCTACGAGCCAAGGACTGCAGAGGCCTGCAGAAGCAGGGAATGGCCCCCAGCTGACAGCCAGAGAGGAAACGGTGACCTTGGTCCTATAGCCATAGGAACTGAATTCTGCCAACAACTCAAATTAGCAGGGAACAAATCCTCCCCTAAAGACTCCAGAAAGAAACTCAGCTTACTGATGCCTTTTCTTCTAGAAAGACCCATACCAGACTTCTGACCTGTAGAACGGTAATACGGTAAATTTGATTTTTTTGAAGCCACTAAATTGGTGGTAATTTGTTACAGCATTAGAAAATGACCACACTGTGTGATCCTGAGTAAGTCCCTCCTTCAAACTGGGCCTCCTTCTCCTGTCAGTCAATTGGAAAGGGTGGTCAAGGTGATCTCCAAGTCTCACTCTGCTCCCCTGACACCCTACCTCCCCTAGAGCCCTGCCCCAGGTCCAGGATGGTCTTGGGTTGAAGGCCATTAAAGAAAAAAACAGAAAGGAGCAAGGGGTGGAGAAGATGAATCTTTAAAAAGCCCCAAGGTGTTTCTTAAAATGCTACCCAGGATGCTCAAAAAAAAAAAGTCTCCCGTTTTGCCATTTGTTACTTCCTAGACCATCCCCCAGAGGAATGAAGTGGAAAATCTGGGAGAGCAAGAAAAAAAGCTTCCCGATCAATTGGTAGAAGCTGTCCAGAGCACTGAGTTAAGGATTCCCTAGCCTTGCAGAGCTTGCAAGGTGCAAAGTCCTGATTGTCAGGGATTAGGACTCTGGTGACACGTACGCCACAAATAGGTCACCAGTACTTGAAACTGATTTGGGGAGTTTAGTTTTCTGTTTTCCTTCTCCCTCCTCCATTTCATTCTCTCTGATCCTATGTAGTTGGTCACCAGCAATTCGCATGTCCAATCAGCCAGAGTCCAAATCAATAAAATAAGGAAACTAGAGCTACACACCACGGAGCAATGTAAAGTACACAGTAGAGTTGTGGAATCTGGTTTGCTGTTGTCCACCATGCTAGCCAGGGATAGTTCTGGCCTGTTCCCCTTCCTGGCTACCTCTGAGCTTTTCTCTTGGATGTACACCATTCTGTTTCCCTAGTGAGGCAGAAAGATACTAGGGTCCCTAGTGATTTACTAGTCCAGTGGCTGTCAAATTCTTACTTACTGTGCCCTAGGTGACCCTGCAAGTAACTGACAGAAATAAGATCTAATAACCCAGATCCCCATAATTCCAGTGCGGTTCAGAGCTCAGGCCCTGAAACCAAACTGCCTGGATGCAAACTGCAGCTCCCTGTGATCACGGGTGAGTTCCCCACTCTCTTTGGACCTCAGTCTCCTCAACTATAAAATGGACAGAATGGTGGTCCCTACCTCATAGGACTGTGGTAAAGACTAAATAAATTAACACTTGTAAAATGCTTAGAATAATGCCTGGCTCATAGTCAGCACTCAGTAAATGTCAAGTATGGTTTGGTTTTTTTTGTTTTGTTTTGTTTTTTGGTAGGCTCAACATGGGGCTTGAACTCATGACCCTGATATCAAGGCCCGAGCTGAGATCAAGAGTCGGAGGCTGAGCCGACTGAGCCACCCAGGCGCCCCTCAAGTATGATCCTTATTACATCATTTGGCTTGTCTGGCCCACCGGGGCAGGTGTCCACAGGCTGTGGTAATACCAGCATTTACTCCCATAAACTGTGAGTGTGAGCACACGTGTCTACCTTTGATTCCACTGCCAACAGCAGTAGTGAGGCCAATCAAGATAAAGATTCTCTTTCCTTGGCGACATTTCCTTTATTTGTAGATTTTAAACCACAGTGAAGAAACAGAAGCACTTTTTTTTTAAAACAAGGATCAGCATACAGCTAGGGAAGCACCTGAAACTGAGACTGCCACTTACCCCGTTGGCCTGTCACACCCGGGCCCCCTATGTGACCCAACCACATGAGGCCCCCAAGGTCTCTAATTTGGTGTATGTCTCAAACACCTCACCCCAGCTCTGCGATTCTTAGGCTATGCCAGAGACCATGCCAGAGACCGGGAATCCCCAGACCTGTCATGCAGGGGAGCCCACGGTTCTGACGCCCTGAGGGGTCACTGTTTAGAACATCTCCAGATGGAGCATGACTTGTGACCTCCAGGGCATGACTCATACCCCGGGAGGGCTGGAAATGGGAGGTCCCTGGTGCAGTGGAGAAGTGCTTGTCCTCAGCTGTTCCGGTCCTTGCTGCAGAAGTACAGATGTCCTGAGGCTCGGCTGGGCTCACAGGACTGCTGGCTGCCCTACAGAACCCAAAGGGCACATCCCGCTCAACCGGAGGTGCCCGTCTGTTCCATCCCCACTTCACTTTAGGGATGTGGAGCGCGAGGTCAAGATGGGGAAAATGCCTCATCAAGGTAACTCTGTCTCCTGACTTCCAGAGAATTGTCCTTCCCACCCCGACCCCTACCCCAACCCCCATTCAGGCATTTGCAAGCCTTCCTATTTCCCCACCGGAGTGGTACCACAGGTACTCAAGGAATCTTTGAGACTTCAATGTCTGAGCAGCTTTCACTACCGGGGCCTAGAGCTCTGAGGAATCTATAGAGGAAGGGGAGACTCCTGAGCGCACCCCCGCCCCACCCCGTGCCAACAGGCCCAAGGCCAGTCAGGAAGAAAGGGTGGAGCTGTAGGAACAGGAGTCCAGCCTGGCCACTCAAAATAGCAACCTCCCACAGGTGTGCAGGTTTTTACGGCCTACACCTCCCCTTCTTCCACGCGTGAACAGTACTGAGCACCTACTTGCCAGGCCCTGGGCCAAGGGCTGAGGAGGCCTCGGAGATGAGGCTTGGAGACAGTCTCTACCCTCAAGGAATTTGTGGAGGGGTAGGGAGAGCAGGGGTGCAACGACTGGAACAACCAAGTCCGAAGTAAAGAGGTGGGAGGAGGAGGAGGGGGCGGAGGAGG